TACCCATCAGAGCTGGGTGGACTCAGGGGCGGTCCACTGACTTGAACCCGGATTCGAACTCGAGACCTACGGGTTAGCAGTTCAACTCTCTAATGGGGTGAAAACTGACTTGATAGTGTGCTTGAAGCGATCTTAAGGTCTCTGGCTTTTAGTATAAACTGTTTTCTACACATTGTTAATTTCCTTTAATAATACCAATCGTAATCGGTTAAGAAACTCTATCTGATGATGTCCATGTTAGTAATCTATTCCAAAGGCGTAGCGAGGGGGGGGGGGGGGGTGGGGGTGCGGACCGCACCGGGTGACACCATTTAGGGGGGTGACACCAAGGCAAAAAATAGCAAAATATATAGAGAAAAATGATAATTCCACTTAATTAAGTGATTAATTCGAGTGTTAAATAGTCTTCTAAGAGGTGCAAATCGAAAGTTTGAGTGGGGGGGGGGGGGGGTGCAAATCGAAAGATTGGGGGGGGGGGGGGGGTAAAAATCGAAAATCGAAGGTTGGAGGGGGGGTGAGGGTGCAAATCGAAAATTGAAAGTTTGTCCCCGGGAAGGGTCGCTACGCCTCTTGGGGGGTGACACCATTAAGTGCCGCACCGGGTGACACCCGACCTCGCTACGCCACTAATCTATTCTCTGATTGTGTCGGGCTAGCGGACAGGACGGTGCCTAAGTTAAAAAAAACTATCGAAATTCTGAATTGTTAGTGTGTGTATAAATATTCAGAATTTGAGAATAACCGTAGTTAAACTGATAACTTACAAAAACAGGGATTTATTCGTTGCATTGTAGACTTCATTTGAATATGATAAAAAGTATATATTTTCAAATAACCGTAGAATTCTGATACAATGTTTTTAAATGTTATCAAAATAAAAAAAAACAAATTTCTCAAAAAAGTCTATCTTCTGTAAATGCAAAAATGAACAAAGAATTTTACAAAATGCAAGAAATAGTATGACGAAAAAGTTAAGATTTTGGTGATATTTTTTTCCGCATTTAATTAAATAAGTATTATTTTAGTTTAGCCTATGCTAAACAAGAATAGTTTAAATTTACATGTCAAATATACTTGGTTAGGCAACTGACTCTCATCAAATTCCTTTGTACATGCGAATTCATATGAACCATGATATACAAATAAAAAGTGTTTTCGTGACGCTCCAAAATACACGATCAACGCCCGCTTTTACAGGTGGCGTTGACACATTTCATGACGTAAGTAGGAATTGAATGACCCACCTAGCCAGTGGGGATCGATAGAACCCAGGCTAAAAAACATGTTTTAAGGTTTTAATATCATTTTTTACTTTCTCGTATATACGAAGTATAGAGAAAGTCTTGTAATCGTGCAAAAAAAAAATCGAGATTTTTACAAATCTCGACGTTTTACACCTCACCGATACGGAAAAACATAATTTTGAAATCTTGTCCGTATGTCTGTGTGTGTGTCTGTCTGTCTGTCTGTCTGTCCGTGTGTAAACACGATTACTTGAGTACCGTTACAGCTAGGTTGATGAAATTTCATGTATTAGTATTTTATCAAAATCGTAGATCCGTATCGACTTTTGAGCGATTTCCGATAAACGGAAGTGGTACTTTTCCTACTTTGAATTTTTCAAAAGCCTATAACTTGAGTACTATTTCAGAAAGATAAATGAAATTTTACATGAAAGTAAAAGATCTAATTCTCTACCTTCTGTTAAATTTTGAGTAATTTCGGTTGACCTGAAGTAGTAATTTACGCTACTTCCGATTTCTCAAAAAACTAATGTAAATTTTTAAAGTACTAATAATATTGCGCACTATTATGCACATTTTATTTGGCGTTCACTTAGTGTTTTTTTTTCTTTTGCCGAGGGTACAGATACAGGTGAACTCTACTTCACCTACTCCCTGGGTCTTAAAGTTCGAATGGGTACTTCACATTATACAGACAACAAACTGACACAGCTTTTTCCAAGGACGGTGATCTTAGACCGGGTAAAACGTAACTTCGAAATGCACGTAGCAGACCTTGTTCGTACATTGAGACATTTGAAATCAGAGTTCGAAGTTCGTACATCGAGACATTTGAAATCAGAGTTCGAAGTTCGTACATCGAGACATTTGAAATCAGAGTTCGAAGTTCGTACATCGAGACATTTGAAATCAGAGTTCGAAGTTCGTGCTTCGAGACATTTGAAATCAGAGAAGTTCGAAGCTAAAGCTATGGGAATTGTATAACCCTATAACTAATCCTACACCACTGACATGCTGTACTTGATAGCTATCTGTGGGAACCTAAATGCTTTAATATACTTATCAGCATTCTTATCAACAGGTTGGTTAGAAGTGGCTTGTTACTGTTATCTAAGGCCTCCTACATACTACATACAAGAGCATGATTTATGATTGAAGATTAAGGAAGTATCGCGAATACCTTAGTAGGTAAAGCTTCCTATTAGCGATAGCTATGGGTATTTTTTTATTCCAGATAAATGGCACCAGTGCTAATATATGCCTGGGTTTAAATCTAATCAATGACGTTAAAAGTTTAGGTAGAAGGAGAGGGAGGGATACATTATGCCCACACATGTGTTTGTGTGTGGTTAAGGCTGAGTGTGCGTGTGGTTTCTGTGCTCGTGTGTGTATGCATGTGTGTGCGTGTGTGTGCGTGTGTGTGCGTGCGTGTGTGCGTGTATGTGTGTGAGCATGTGTGTGTGTGCGTGTCTGCATGTGTGTGTGCGTGTATGTGTGTGTGCGTGTATGTGTGTGTGCGTGTATGTGTATGAGCGTGTATGTGTGTGCGTGCGTGCATGTGTGTGTGTATGTGTGTGTGTGTATGTGTGTCAACACAAACCAGGCACAACCCTCACTCACTCCCAAATTCTCTTACTCCTTCATACCCAAATGCACACAAAAATTGTCAAGTTTGTGATGTCATTTCGCCATTCCGAAAGTCTCGAGTTCGATTCCGTGTTCATGTCAGTTGAGCGTCCGTGAGTACACCCATCCAAGTAGCGTAGCGAAGGGGGGGGGGGGGCGGGGGGGGACGACGACATATGTCCCCGGGCGCAGACCTAAGGGGGACCCAAAATGGGTTGGAAAAATAAATTGCAAGGTTGAGGGGGGTGCAAATTGAAAGTTTGAGGGGGGGGGGGGTGCAATTCGAAATGTTGAGGGGGGGGGTGCGAATCGGAAGTTTGAGGGGGGGGGGGCTGCAAATCGAAAGTTTGAGGGTGGGGTGCAAATCGAAAGTTTGAGGGTGGGTGGGTGCAAATCGAAAAGTTTGTCCCCGGGCGCCGGGAAGGGTCGCTACGCCTCTGACCCATCTCTGGTGGGTACCTAACTCATATAGGGAAAATTAAGGCGGCTGGGCATAGTGCTGACTACACTATACTCTTCATATACTGACGTCACAGAAACAGGTGAACTCTACTTCAGGTTTGAAAGGGTAATTTTTCTTGATGTTTGTAATAAAACCATTTTGCGCGCATCGAGTGATTCATTGCACTAGAAAGCACTTAAAAGAGACAGACTCTTTTTTAAAGTGTAAGTAGAACAATGTCTGCGAATTCTTTACATTTTAATATATAAATTACCAAACATTTAACTGTTATTTTACGCCATAATCGATGAATGTCATTTCAAAAAACATTGATTTATATCCATTACTTGTACCCAAATTGAATATATGTATTAAAATTAGCCCGATGTTGTTGCTTTAGTATTAGGGTAAGGTAAAGCTTAAAATTTGGATGAAGTATCGTAATGGCTATTAAAAATACTATTAATAGAGTGTACCTAATGTAACGTCAACACTAGTTATCAACTCATGGGTCATAACTCTCGCTCTAAGCCTTACTCTGGTTATAAGTTTTGTATCGATAACGCATATATTAGCGACCAGAATATATGGCAAATATTAATTTATTCGAACTAAATAGGCACTTATAAGAAAGCCGAATGGGCGTAGAAAAAACAACGGTTTTTATATATTGATGTCACTACTTTCTAAAACACCATAATCCTCTTTCTGACGAAATCATTTATAATAAAATAACCTCATTTTTAAGTACTACAGCAATCATTGCAAGTATCAATTACATTTCTGCTTCTACATTTTTCAAAATATGATCTGGACTACACTATCATTAACACCACAGATGATGATGTATTTATTTAGTTAAAAATAAAAGTTTTATAAATGTTTTTAAAATGTATCTTAAACGAATGAAAGTAGGCTACATGTAAGAAAGAAGTATTACTATTGAAAATCTGTATTAGTCCTCACAAGCCGATAATGAAAACTGTAATACTGAAGCGAACGTGCAAGGCAAACTGACGCTGTAAATTACGTCTGAGGCGAAAAAAAAAAGCCAAAAAAAAAAAAATGCCCCCTAGGTTACAAAAGAAACACCAGAGTTTTTTTTTTTTTATCTGAACTCGATAAAATAAATTTGTATTGACATCCCAAATAAGAGGTCGGCGTAGTCGACTCGGTAAAGCTTATGGTTGCTAAACCCTAAAGTCTCGAGTTCGAACCCTCGGGCAGATGAGGCTAGTTAGCTGGGGACAGCCACTCTTCTAGGAGAGACAACTCTGCCTTGTAGTTTATTCTTGGTTGGACAAAGGCTATGGAAGCAAATCCAAAAAGAAAAGCAGGCTGAAATCGGAGTCAATGGCCTCAATGGCGCATAACCAGTTGACACGTAATCCTTAAATGTGATGGAAGCAAAAGTTCATGGTTGATAAATTCGAAAAAAAATCTCGAGTTCAAACCCTCTGGCAGATAAGGCTCGATACCTCCCAACACTAAAATTTAAGAACGAAGAAGAAGAAGAACATTCCAAATCAGAACGCTATTTACCCGAATTTTTAGGGGCCGTTCCTAACTGTGTGATGATGGGTTAGAGGCGGGTGTATCGACATATAAAGCCTACTATCAGCAAGTCAAGTATTGTGCAAGTACTCATACACTCGTAACGCTCTTGTCCTGTACAGGCTTGTAAGAGATTGGACGACTCCTTGGTACAACTGGAGCCACATCTGGAGCCAAACAGGAGCCACACCAGGAGCCACATCAGGAGCCACACAGGAGCCAACAAGAAAAACTTTGGGGCGCCTGGCAGAGTGGACCTAGAAGATGGCCCACTCAAGTCACGTGAGCATTAAACACAAACGGTAACTCTAAAGACAGAAAGTGTTTTGTTTGGGAGCTCATTCAATGGCGTAACTAGGGGGTGCATTGGGGTAGTCGAATACATTTGAGTGTCCTGACAGGCATGTATTGATTTAACACAGGAAAATATAAACGACGATAATCTCATGTAACCTGAGGTTCATAGAGTTTCTCATTTTATTAAAATGTTGTTGCTCTATATAAAGGTTCGAATTTATTCAGGTGTTGTTGCTCTACATAGAGGTTTTCAATTTATTCATGTCTTGTTGTTTTGCATAGAGATTCTCAATTTATTCAGGTATTGCTCTACATAGAGGCAGAGTTTCTTCCAGGCATCTCTTCGAAAAAATTTTACCGCCCCCCCCCCCCCTGAACGAAATGAAATTTATATAATTTATTTAGAAAATATATACTTTTAAAAGTGCCCCCCCCCCCCCCCCCGAAAATTTCAAGTGCCCCCCGGAGAAAAAAGTCTGGAAGAAACACTGCATAGAGGTTCTCAGTATATTCATGTGATGTTGCGCTACATACAGGTTCTCAATTTATTCAGGTGTTGTTCTACATAGAGATTCCCAATTTATTCAGGTGTTGTTGTTCTACATAAAGGTTCCCAATTTATTCAGGTGTTGTTGTTCTACATAAAGGTTCTCAATTTATTCAGGTGTTGTTCTACATAGAGATTCCCAATTTATTCAGGTGTTGTTGTTCTACATAAAGGTTCTCAATTTATTCAGGTGTTGTTCTACATAGAGGTTCTTAATTTATTCATGTGTTGTTCTACATAAAGGTTCTCAATTTATTCAGGTGTTGTTCTACATAGAGGTTCTTAATTTATTCATGTGTTGTTCTACATTAAGGTTCTCAATTTATTCATGTGTTGTTGCTACTGTTGCTTGACTCACAAACGATTAAAAAAAATTAAAAACCAACTTTTCTGTGGCGTCACAAGGCGGAGACAGGGTGTAGAGATTGCACCAGATGACACCATCCAGGGGAGGGGGGGACGACACACAAAAATACAAATGTAGCGAATTTTAAGAAGACGTTTGGTTAGTTAGTTTGATAAATTATTAAACATATTTAGCCCTACACATCATGAGGTACAAGGCGACACAATCAGAGATGGGGGTGACACTAAAGTGCCTTTTTAGTTTTTAGTAAATCTTAGATGTATTTACTGCACTTCCTACTAGTGTTTTAGAGCACCGCGCACAAAAAATATCTGCAAATACGCTGTTGTTGTTCTTTGAAGGGAATGATGCTTGGTATTAAGGATTCTGTCTGGATTTCAATAAAGTTATGCATATATATTTCAGGAATCTCATTAGAACGTTAAAGGTAACCAACTACAGCAATAAATTTTTAAATAGCTTTGCGAGTATGCAATAGATCAAAGGGAAATAATTCCTTTAATTATAAATAATAAAAAAAACAGGTTATCTTTTCTTTAAAACAAAAAAAAAAAAACCACGAAATTTCCAATTTAAAAATTGCCAAAATTTTTAAAAAAATCATTTTTAAAAGAGTAGGTTCCTATCGTCAAATTCGAGTTGATCATGTCGCGACTAGAGAAATTAATTTCATATATATATATATATATATATATATATATATATATATATATATATATATATATATATATATATATGAAATTAATACATATATGTATGTTTATACATATATATATATATATATGAATATATATATATATATATATATATATATATGAATATATATATATGAATATGTACATATATATATATATATATATATATATATATATATATACTAGCCGTCCCGGCCAGGCCCTGCTCTGTCTTCTGTGAAAAACCTTTCTGTTAAAGACCATTACCTGTGTGTTTAGTAATCATCATAAACCCGGCATTGCACACCCAAACCAAAACAACAAAACGCAAACATAACGCTAACACAATTACAAATACAAACGAAAACAAAAACCTAACAACTAACCCAACCACAACCACAAACACCAATACGAACACAAAGAAAAAAAAAACGAAAAAGCAAACGAAAACAAACCGAATCCAAATGCAAAACCAACCACAAACCCAAAGAAAAAAACACAAACGAAAAAACAAACGAAAACAAACCAAATACAAACGCAAAACCAACCACAAACACAAATACAAACACAAACGCAAAGAAAATAAAACACAAACGAAAACGAAAAAAGAAAGAACAAAAACGAACCAAATCAAAACGCAACCACTAACGCAAACCCAACCTAAACACAAAGAAAACACTAACGCGAACATAAACGCACAGTGCTCAGAGTCTAGCCCGGGGCGGAATCGCCTGTTTCAGCTTAATAAACGACTATAGTACCCCAACTTATTCATAGTCTTTTGCACTCACTTTAATGAACGTAGGCGCGAAACCGAACACGGGAGGCCCGGGACCCCAAATAGCACCCTGTCTGGGCGCCAGAGGACGCACCATGACGTCACCGCCTGATTGAACTTAGTAAACGACTATAGTACATAACTTATTCATAGTCTTTTGAACTCACGCGAACGTATATACCATAGCATACACCGGAAGGCCCGGGGCGCCAAATAGCACCCTGTCGGGGTGCCGGAGGACGCCCGGATTTGATTCACTTAAAGACTATAGTAACCTTTCTTACCCATAGTCTATCGCACTGTTAAAAACAAAATTATGCAGCATAGCGCTCACATGATAGCCCAGGGTGCCAAATCGAACCGTGCAAGGGCGCCGGCGGACGCGCCTGTTTCAATTTAGTGAACAAAAATGATAATACTCCAAGCTTATCCGTAAATGGAAAGAAATAAACATATATGATTTGTAGGACCTGGCTTATTAAATGTTATTGATTTAAAAAAAAAAATTATTGAACAGTATGTTCAGTGTATAGAATAAATAAAAGGTAGTGTTAAAAATACCTAACGACATTGCACTTAATCAATCCCCGCTAATTATGTAATTTTTTTTTTATTTCTTAACACCAAAAACAAAGTAATAAAATGTAAATTCTTTCTTTTTAAGAATTTTTTTTTATTAAAGGGAAGTAACTGTGCAGTCAATACATTTCCGACACAATTTTAGAAATTTTATAAACGTCGATACACTTTTTAAAAATTTTATGTCGCGTTCATAATTGAAAATTATTCTTCTAAGTAAATAGAATGAAAATTGTTTTTAAAGACTTTCAATGGTAATTTTTTGACTCGTACATTTAGACTGTGAGCACGATAAAAAATCTAACACTTAAATCCATAGAACTGTCAACGACAAACTTTTTTTTTTTTGCCACACGTTACAGAACTGAGCTTTATATATTAGATATATATATATATATATATATATATATATATATATAAATATATAAATATATATATATATATATATATATATATATATATATATATATATATATATATATATATATATATATATATATATATATATATTCATATATATAAATATAAATATAAATATAAATATAAATATAAATATAAATATATATATATATATATATATATATATATATATATATATATATATATATATATATATATATATATATTCATATATACATTGATTCAGAAGTCTTCAACAAAGACGTAGCGAGAGCGTGAATGAATATGAAAATGCAGATGACTTTGAAGAAGGTCGCCATCTGAAGGTCGCTGTCTCCCACAAGGGCCTGTCCGTGACCTCACTGGTCAATGAGGACAGGAGGAAGAGGGACCTCTTTGAGAGGGACTTGGCCAGAGTCATTAATGGTGTGTGAACAGTTCAAGGATAGTGTGTAAAATCGAGATTTTTACAAATCTCGACGTTTTACACCTCACTGATACTGAAAAAATATAATTTTGCAATCTTGTCCGTATGTCTGTGTGTCTCTGTGTGTGTGTAAACACGATAACTTGAGTACCGTTACAGCTAGGTTGATGAAATTTCATATATAAGTATTTTATCAAAATCGTAGATCCCTATCATATTTTGAGCGATTTCCGATAACCGGAAGTGGTACTTTTTCTACTTTGAATTTTTCAAAAGCCTATAACTTGAGTACTATTTCAGATAGATAAATGAAATTTCACATGTAAGTAAAAAATCTAATTTTATACTTTCTGTCCAATTTTGAGTAATTTCCGTTTACCGGAAGTACTAATTTACGCTACTTTCGATTACTCAAAAAACGCATGTAAATTTATAAAGTACTAATAATATTGCGCACTATTATGCACATTTTGTTTTGGCGTTCGCTTGGTGCGCAATTCTTTTTTCTACTAGATTTTATTCTAGTTTTAAAAGTTTAAGTAAACAAAAATCCCACGTAGTGTTATATTAGAATATTCGAGAAAGTTTATGGGAGATCACTTCCGGTTTATTTCCATTAGTCTTTCACAATCAACCTAACCATACCTCCTACCACCCCCTTAAGATATTTTCCGTTGTAAAACATAAGTTTCCTAGAATTAACCCTTTAGTAAACAACTAATCATTAACACCAACCTCCCATTATTCTTAAAATAGCATTTCCTTTCAAGACACTAGTGCTCTAGAATTAACCTTTACTGACACAACAACAAAACATAACACCTCCCTCCAGTGTTTCTTCCAGACTTTTTTCTCCGTGGGGGGGGGGGGCGGTAGACTTTCTTCGGGGGGGGGGGAGGGGGCGGACACTGTTAAAAGTTAAAATTTTCTATATAAATTATATAAATTTCATTTCGTTCGAAATACTAGAAACTGAAGAGATGCCTGGAAGAAACTCTGTCCTCTCCTTATATTCCTAATAATATTTTTACTTGGTAAGACTTTAGTGCTCTAGAATTAACCCTTTACTAAACAGCTAAACATTAACACCAACCCTCTATTCCTACTAATAATATCTTCCACTGTAAGACACAATTGCCAACTTAATACTATCATCTCTATTATGATATTTCCCACTGTAACCCTATAACGTCCGTCGTTTAAAATGACCACCACAGCCAACTTTAACCCCATCACCAACAAACAACAGAGGGCGACACATCTGGAGAAGTGGAACCGTTTGAAAAATTTGGGGCAGACGACGGAATCTTCTCATCAGGACGTCGCCTCGTTTCTGGAGCAGACTCGAAAATTGGCGAGAGAAGGTACCCTGTACAGTAGTGCCTCGGGTTTCGTTGCTTCGGATTTCGTTGCCTTCGGTTTTCGTCGTTTTCGGTTTTTGTGGCTTTCTTTTATCGCGAGTTTCTCTCATCGAGTATTTCGGTTTTCTTGAGTTCCAACTTTCCGAATGTTTCGGTTTTCGAGTGTCTCAGTTATCGTGTGACTCAGTTTTCGCAATTCGTTGGAAGAAGGATAATAAATGACAACTAATATTTAACTTGAAAATGAATTTGGGGCTAGACTTAAACATTTTTTATGTTTTCTAACCCTAACTTAAAACATTCAACCCTTTTAAACCCCACCCCCTCATTCACAGATCTAAAAAAAAAAAAAAAAAAAAAAAAAAGGTTTTATGGTACGCCGACATAACATAAATCTGCAACTTAAAAACATACACTCCTTCACTTAGCCTTTGTGTTAAGAGCTAAAACGTTGATCTGCCCTGTAAACAAATGACCTGCTCACGCAGAGGCGTAGCGACCCTTCCCGGCGCCCGGGGACAAACTTTCAATTTGGCGCCCCCCTCGGGAGAAAATTTTTAATTTGCAACCCCCCCCCCCCCCCCATCAAACTTTCGATTTCCACCCCATCTCAACTTTTCGATTTGCACCCTCTCCCCTCAAACTGCAAAAATGCAGCTCAAATGACATTTTAATTTGTTTTTACAACCCATTTTGGCGCCCCCCTTAAGGTCGGCGCCCGGGGACATATGCCCCCCCCCTGCCCCCTCCCATCGCTACGCCTCTGTACTCACGTGATCTGTACCTAACCAACACACCACAGATACCTACACGGCCTTCCGGACCTGCAAACTTCCGGTGCTAGTCACAACCCCTGTCTGCGTGGTGCAGCCGACCTTGCTGACGTCACCAAAAGACGACCCCAACAAGCTGGGGGTGGGGCTGGACGGGACAGCAAAAGTTTCTTTCCGCATGTCTTCAAACTCGAGCAGAGGTCACGGGCAAGCATCCCAGGTCCCGTTCAGGAGCCCGAGGTGAGAGGTCACGTTCAGGAGCCCGAGGTGAGAGGTCACGTTCAGGAGCCCAAGGTGAGAGGTCACGTTTAGGAGCTCGAGGTGAGAGGTCATGTTCAGGAGCCCGAGGTGAGAGGTCATGAGCCCAAGGTGAGAGGTCACGTTTAGGAGCCCAAGGTGAGATGTCACGTTCAGGAGCCCGAGGTGAGAGGTCATGAGCCCAATGTGAGAGGTCACGTTTAGGAGCCCAAGGTGAGATGTCACGTTCAGGAGCCCAAGGTGAGAGGTCACTTTTTTAGTCGAGTTGAAAAATCACGTGAGCCCTACCACACGTAATTCTTTCTTTACTGTGCTCTATCTCAGACGTGATCCCTATCACAAGTTATATATTTTTACTATCCTGAATTGGCTTTTACTGTCCCCTATTACTTTTTTTACTGTTCACTATTACTTTGTTTACCGTCCTCTATTACTATTTTTACTGACCTCTATTACTTTCTTTACTGTCCCCTATTACTTTTATCTTACTTTTTTTAATGTCCTCTATTACTTTCTTTACTGTCCTCTATTACTTTCCTGTTACTTTTTTAATGTCCTCTATTACTTTTTTACTGTCCTCTATTATTTTTTTATTGTCCTATATTACTTGTGTATTGTCCTTTATTAAGTTTTACTGTCATCTATTACTTTTTTACTGTACTCTATTACTTTTTTACTGTCATCTATTACTTTTTTTTTACTGTCCTCTATTACTTCATTTACTGTCCTCTATTACTTTTTTACTGTCCTTTTACTTTTTTTAATGTCCTATATTCCTTTTTTGCTGTCCTCTACTATTTTCTTTACAATCCTCTATTACTTCTTAACTATCCTCTATTACATTTTTACTGTCCTCTTTTACTTTGTCCTCTATTACTTTTTACTGTCATCTCTTACTTTTTTACTACCCTCTATTACTTTTTTTAATGTCATCTATTACTTTCTTACTGTCCTCTATTACTTTACTTACTGTCCTCTATTACTTTCTTACTGTCCTCTATTACTTTTCTTACTGTCCTCTATTACTTTCTTACTGTCCTCTATCCCAGACGTGAACCCTACCACGCCTCCCCTTGGACGTTCGACGAACGCAAGTGTTTCTTCACCACCCGGATCATCCCGCCCCACCAGAGACGCGAGACGCCCATCACCCTAGAGCGGAACGTCGTAGAGGTCGACTCCGGCAAGATGTTGTCTACAGTCTTCACGCCCATTCTCAAGAGCAAATCCCAGATGTCCAAAAGCATGATGTAGTGGTGGTGTTCGCATTCTGTGTTGTGTAGTTGTAGGGATCGGGCACCAGGGTTACTTTCAGACATTTTTCTACGTAGGAGGGGGAGGGGAGGGCACTTGAAGCATTAGGGAAGGTACGTATTGGCTATATCAGTGGCGTAGCGAGGTCGGGTGTCACCCGGTGCGGCACTTAATGGTGTCACCCCCCAGAGGCGTAGCGACCCTTCCCGTGGACAAACTTTCAAGTTTTTTATTTGCACCCCCGCCCCTCAAACTTTCGATTTGCACCACCCCCCCCCCCCCTCTCAAGCTTTCGATTTGCACCCCACCCCCTCAAACTTTCGATTTGAACCCCCCCTCCTCAAGTTTTTCTCTATATATTTTGCTATTTTTTGCCTTGGTGTCACCCCCCTAAATGGTGTCACCCGGTGCGGTCCGCTACGCCCCTGTGCTATATATAGGTTATATATTTTATATACAAATTATATACTTAATCTTAAACGATGGGGAGGTGGTGATCAGGCTTTAGATGGGGCAGTGCTCCCCCACCCTGGAGATATGCCTGATAAAAACACTGACTTGCACATACTATTTTGTGTAATTGAAATGATCGTGGATGTATTATATTGTACTGGCGAAAAGCACTTTGTATTACGTCACAGTGAGGGATTGTTCTCGTTTTATATCATACAAAACATTATATTTTTTTTATAATGGAGCGTCCATAAATGAAGTCACATTTCGAGGAGGGGTTCGGATTCTTGTGGGGATAAGTGACGATGAAATGGAGAGGGGTGTGTTCAAGAAGTTACGCATTTAAAAAGTAATGTTAGAAAGCGAAGTTTTCCCCTTATTTCGAGATTTTATATGACTTGTGTAAATTGTAACTAAAATTGGTTAGTTAAATCAATGTTGTCTAAGCTCAAAAAAAATTTTTTTTAGAAAATAATCGCAGTTTTTAAAAAAAATATAAATTAATCAATTAAATCAACGGTTCTGTAAGAATACTATTAGTGCTTCAATTAAAAAAAAAAACTGTTGGTTATTTCTTAATTTTATATTTGCCCTTCCTTCATGCCAAGGCGTAAAGTTCATAATTTTTCTACAATTAAAATTAATACTTTCGATTTACCATTTTTTTGTTAAAATTGTAGACTTTGGCTATACTACATTAAAAAAAAAATACTCTTAGCTTTCTTTACAGGCTTGGATCTTAAGGCCTTGATGGTAAAAAAGCACAATGACAATTTTAATCAGAGTTTGTGGTCCCCTTTTTGAACTTTCCGAGGCTTCTTGGACACAGCCAGTCCACCCCTGGGTAAAAGTATATAGATCAGTTAGACCAGTGGCGTAGCCAGGAATTGGTCAAGGGAGGGGTTCAAAAATGTTTCCATACGTATATAATCCTATATATATATATATATATATATATATATATATATATATATATATATATATATATATATATATATATATATATATATATATATATATATATATATAACCTCTCCTTGCCTACGCTACTGAGTTAGACTTCAAGCTAGCACTTGGACTCAGGTTAAGGTTATAGCGAAGTATATTTAAAGATGATGTGGTGCCTAACATGACACACAGTTAATCAAAAATGAGACCAGAACATATCACGAAAACAAAATTAAAAATCTCAAAACAATGTGGATGGCAAATTACTTGTGTATTTATTTCTAGTTTAATTTGGCATACAAAATAACTAGCATTTAAAAAAAAAAAATAACCGCATTTATACAAATGCATTTATTTCTTTCTTCATTTATATTTACGCATTCATTGAAACTGCATAAATATTGTGATACACATCATCTGAAAATGTGTGGACAGGCATAAGTACTTTTATACTCCAGCTTATTCACTTTTCAAAACAATAAAGCAATAATCTGAAATGTTTTAATGTATACATTTTAGCCTACTCTCAAATAAAGAATATAGTTAAAAATATATAACAGGTTTGAAAGTCTAACTGAATTGTTAAATATGGGTAGTAATAGAATGGCATTATTTCATAAAGAAAATTAATTGATTTAGTTTTAGCAAGAATATAACAAACATTCATTGTCATTTTTGCATTCGTTTCTTTTTTTAAATTAATTAACCATAAAAAGAGTTAATTTGTGACATCATTCTGACATTAAAATAATGTATCAACATTTTTTGGCTTAATTTATTATGTATAAAAAAAATCATTAAAGTTATAAAAGTAAATACTTTTAAATTTTATGATTTCATATAATAAATATAATTACAATCTGTGTTTTAAAAATATGATCTTAAACCACAAAGGTTTACTACACGAAAAATCCTTTCATATGATAATGAGGATGATAAGTCACCAAATAATAGAAATTAGAATAATAAAAAGTGTTGAATTTATTTTAAAATATATACACTTTTCAATTCTTAAACACAAAATTTATCACGGTAATAAACCCTTACTGCTAATCTGAAAGTCTCGAGTTCAGACCCTGGGTTTGAGTCTGTAGGACTTCCCTGAGTACACCCAGCACTAATGGGTACCTGACTCATGTTACGGAATAGTGATGACCACACTATCACACTACCACACTAACAGATGAGCTCTATTTAATATGCCCTATCTATCTTGGGCTTGAACAGGAACATATGAGATAATTAACCCTTCTACACTCAAATGAGAACATATTAACCCTTTACAGCACAGACTATCTAACCTAATTAAAATTATTTAAAATACAGGAAGAGGATTCTTTAATGTCTGCAAAAATAAATATTACATCATGTTCGCAAACCTTGGATCATATATTTTACACATGTAATATTTATTTAAAGGCATCAAATTATTGTATTCTAAAAATGCACAAGTGTATTTATAATAATTAAATATCACATCACAAATTAAAAGTACAAGATCACTTGTATAAAAATGAAATAATAAAGCTGAATATTCAACAAATATTAATAAAAAAATATGAATCAACTTTTTTTTCAACATAACTATTGTCAGTACTACACAAAAAATATTTTGCTCCATAAAAATTGAAATTGAACGACACAATTTGTATTAATTCTATTTTGGACATTCAATGAGATTGTTAAATTACGTAAATTATGTTAAATTAAAACATTATTAGTTGTTTTTTTTAAACAAGCCCAATAGTAAATTATATTCCATGGAATCACTGACTTATACTAAAAAACTGTGATATTAAAAGAATTATGGAAACCCAATCCTTATACAGAAGAAAAAAAAATTAACCTCCATAAGAACAAGCAGTAAAGCTTAATTTTGTGTTAAAAAGAAAATAAATATATTTTTAAGCAAGTTAATTTAATCTTTTAAATCAAACTTAAACAACTAAAATATTGTTAAAAAAACAACATACAATCAAAGGCAATATTATGTTTCTCCATTTCACCTTGCCACCACAAAGTAGAAAATAACATACTGACTACCCCTACCACTAAATATTGAAAAATAGTAGTGACATGTAAACTAATAACTAGACATGAAACTTTACATCCTTAAAAATAACACAATGACAACATTTTCAAACAAATTCTGAGGTGTTTTTCTATAGTATAAATTCACAAAAATCTTTGAAATATAATTAAGAAATATACAGTAAAATGTACAAAATTGTGCTCAGCATTAATCAAAATCAAGTAAACATAATTAAGTTTATCTTAAAAAAAGAAAGGTAAAAAGAAAAGCTGATGATCAGAGGCCATAAAGTTTTGCAGGGGTGTTCGGCTGTCAAATTGCCCATCTGTCCCCTGCCTTCCCCAGTTAATAGTGTGTGTAGATCAGGCAAATACCTCTCAAATGATAAATGTATTTTAACCAAATTTATATTATTTCTAACACAACCCAGGTAGAAAAAAATAGTGTAGTCTGGAAGTGAAAAATATTGAAGGATTATTGAAAATATCATGTCCCTTCACTTGTGTTTTGAAAAGATACTGAGGTAGCTATAAATAGCTTGTTTGTTTTAATAGGGTGATGTGGATTTAGGATACATTTTATTTATATTATGGATTCTTTGTTGTTCTAGGATAATTGTCAGGATTTCATTGTATCATATTAATGAGAAGTAGGAATTTATTGTCTCAGAACTATAATCTGTCTAATTTAACGTATGTTTTTCTAGTTCAATGTTATTTATATTGTTAAGTTTCCATTGTATGTTGAATTGTTGATTCAATTAGTTATATTTCTCTTCTATATATATAATTTCAAAGGTGTATTTAATTATATAACTTGTGAGTATTATGTGTAATGTTGGAAATAGCTTTGACGCTAACTGCACAGTTGAAGAAAATAATTTTCTTAAGCAATCAGGATCTAAAGATCATAATCCACACAGACAAGTGGGGGCACAGGCCAAATCAACATCAGAAAAATGATAAATAAGAACAGTATCATTATATCAAATTCAGTTACATGAGTAATGGTTGAAAAAACTGATAAGTTATTTCAAAGGATTTAGTGCAAAATATATGCATGAAAGAATTTTTAAAATAATACAACTGAGAAGGTTTCATAATTTGATCCAATGAAAACTGTAAAGAAATTACACACTTGTGTAAAACTTGTTTTAGTTTAGTTGCATTTTATTTGTTTTATCAAATAAATTAAATTATCTTTTTGGCACACAAAGTTTTGATTTTATCTCAACAGAGTTTGAATCAGCAAAAGTTACCAAATGTTAAATCCTAAAACATTTTATAAGTTCTTAAAATAGTTTTTACAAAAGAAAAACATTTCAAAAATTAAATTACAAGAGTTTGCGTTCTCTATTATAGTAATTTCAAGAAAAAAAGGAATAAGAAAACATGTAAAGTGAAGCTATGAAGAAGATTAAAAAATAGAGAATTTGACTATAATAAAAAAAAAAATAACTTTATAAATGACTTCTGGATGGAAGCTACAACAATATTCTAAAAATGTTGGATTTAATTGAAACAAATGTCAATGCTGAGTTCTGTGGCCATTTGAATGTGAAGCGTTTCTTCGTCTCCCCAAAAGACACTCCTCAACATTCTCCACCGTGTCAACCGCATCAAAGTAAGGGTAGACAGGTGAGTTGTGCTCCGATGCTGCAGTAGCATAGTCTTCATCAATATCTAAAAGATGAGGCTCCTTTGACTTTTGACGCTTTATGCCACTATATTTAGAAAATAAAAAAAAAATTATACAAATGAAGTATGTTCTTTTTTTTTTAAAACAGGAGCAATTATTTCAAAAGTAAGTTATTTTATTATGTAAAATATTATACATTAATATGATTATTTGAAAAAACTATTAAAAACAATATATTTTTTATTTAAAAAAATAAAACCAAATAAAAGAATGTTATTTATAATTGTATTTATGTATAAACATTTTCTTTGGCAGATGAAGAAATAGCTCATTTAGCAGAAGACCCTCTGTTATCAAATAAACAGCGCCTTGCTTGTGCTCTTGTATAAATTAAGGCTATAGAAACACATCCAGAACAAAAAAAAGCAGACTGTAGTCACACTTAATATATCATGTTATATAATATATCGATAGACAATTCTTTTTTTACGAGGAAAAGCTTGGAGTTTTTAAATAAATTTCAGTTGCAAACAAGCTTAAAAAACACAGCATACTTTCTTAAACGTTTTATTTTTTAAAAAGTGTTAAAAAATGTGTAAAAAATGTCCTTACACATTGTTGTTTAAGTCATCACTGTTTTTGTTAGGAACTTCTCCATTGGCTGGCTGAAATCCTGTACTACTGTCACTTCCCCTTTTCATTGGGTTAGCTCCCATTAGCTGGCATAAACTGGTTATTGTGTTGCCTTCTTCAATGGCTGAAAGCTCTGGAATTCTATAAAGACAGAAATGAAGTTTAAAAAATGAATTGCAAATTAAAATGTTACAAAATGTTGAATGCAACTATAATGATAATACATTTTTACAATTTCTGTAACAATCTGTTTATTAATGTAGCTTATTAAATTTTTTAAAAATAATTAGCTAATTATGTTTTCTATTAAACAAATTCCATTTTTTAAAAATAAATCCACTAATTGTGTATTCTACTTAATAAATCATAAAATTATGCTTTTTTAAATTAAACAAACAAGTTAATTCAGTTTTTACTTAAATAAATTAGTCAAGTCTTTCTTTTTAAGATATCCACTAGATCTATTTTTATTTTAAAATTCATAGATCTTGGCTTTCTAAATTAAATAAATGAGCTAATTCTATTTTTATTTTAAATAAATCATATTAATCAAAAACCAACATTCTACCATACCTGGAGACCTTGTCAATATTCTGAAATGGTGCAATTACTTGCCCCTGTCTTCTAGTTTTGGAGGGAGCTGAATCAGATTCAGAATCTGTGTCCTTCACATGTTCTACTGTAAACCTGCAGACAGAAAAAAAAACAATGTTCACCAATGAAAACAAATATTGTAAACCATTCAAATATGGTAATTATAAGTTTTAAAATGACTTTTCTACAATATTATTGTTCAGCCAATTTCATTACAGTCACTTGTAGTAACACAATATTAAAATAATATTATAAATATATTCAGTTGTAGACTTTTTAAAAACTATTTTTATAATCTATAAATATAATTCCCTTCTGGGAGACGCTAGAAAACAAGCTGTAAGCGCTCTCCCTACCACCCTACCCCTACATGGTCTGGTGAGCTGTGGTTCACGCTAAATGTTTACAAACAGAGCCGGGTTTAGTGACGGCTATTAGGGGCAGGTAATTTAGTTTGAAACTATTTTAAACTTAAGGGAGGTAACTAAGAGGAGGCTGCTTTCACAGGGTGGGGGGGGGGGGTGTAGGGTAGGGGTTGGGGGAAAGGAGGGGGGTAGTATCGTTCTTAACGACCTACTGATAGTGTTTTAAAGCAAATATTTTCAGTGTCATCATAGGTATTGTCGAATTCACAAATTATGAATTACTGAAAAGTAGAAAATAAAACAACTAAATAGTGGCGTATGATATGCCGCGGGTCGGCTCCTGGCGATATAAAATCATTTTTATTCAAAAAAAAAAAGAAAAAGTTAATTCTCTGAACTGAAAAACAAATTGACTACTGGGCAGTATTTTACCTGGAAACTTTGGGTGACTGGCTTAGAGGAGAATCCAGCAGTTTTGATTTTGGCTTTGAAACATGGTTGATATGAAAAGGCAAACTGAGCTTCCTATTTTTACTTTCAATCTCCAGGAACTCACTGTCTGTGTTTGCCCTTTGCCTCAGCTGTGAGAAGGAATAAAACATTTTTTGTCAAAATAACTTTAGATTTAATATATTATGTAAAATAAATATTTTTTATAAGTCTACACAAAATGTTATTGAAAAATAATGTCATATTTTATCTGATAATTAATATTTTACCAAATTAACACAAAAAAGCATGTAACATTTTTACAATAGTATAACACATATGTAAAGTAACAATTATTATCTATGAGATTACAGAAATTAATTGATTTTGTTTCTATTGTGTATTGTTTAATTATTTTTTTAATAAGTTCCATGCAGCACACTTTGTTAAAACTACAAATGTATTTATGATAGGTTAATAGCATTTACTTTTAATTAAACTTTTTCAACAGGATTTTTAAAATACACATCTTTTTAAATTATACTTAAAACAGATTTAACATCACTAATGTCTCTAATGAATGCCAAATGTGAAAATCTTTATATTTTATGTGTAGAAAAAAGCTCTTTGCAAGTGCTAAACTAATGCAAAGTAAAAATTAAATGCTAAGCCTTCTATAAGCTGTATATTCTTTAGCAATACACAAAGTATGCTATCTGCTGTAAATGCATTTACAAAATACTATATTTACTCAAGCAAATGTATTTTGCATCTACATCTATATGAATCTATATGTATATATATATATATCTATATATATATCTATCTATATATATATATCTATATCTATATATATATATCTATATATATATATCTATATCTATATATATATATCTATATAAATATATATATCTATATATATATATATATATATATATATATATATCTATATAAATATATATATCTATATATATCTATATATATATATATATATATATATATATATATATATATATATATATATATATCTATATATATATCTATATATATATCTATATATATATATATATATATATATATATATATATATATATATATATATATATATATATATATATATATATATATATATATATATATATATATATATAGCCTATATACATTATCTACAGCTACTAGTAATGAAGCTGACAGTCATAATTGGAATTACAGAAAGACTAATTATCATAAAAGCAAAAACAAATAGGACTTTTTATTCACAGACAGGGGGACACAGCAGCCACCACTGGTTAGAGTAAATTTAGGTAGGAAAATGTTCTTTCTCATATGATATGGTATACAAACATTACCATGGTAGTCTAAATAAAAAAATTTATGCTATATAGGCATGTATCTGCTATAGATAAGGATTTCATTCCTTCAATTTTATTTTTTTTTAAATTTTTTTTTCTTTTAACAAAGGCTAATTATATATAGTGGTAATATTTTTCTGAAACAAAGAACAATTTTACACTGTTTGCCAATATAACTATGCATTTTTTATAGTAAAATCTAGGAAAAAGTGTGTAACAATAGGAAAAAATCACATGTGCAATTTTCAAACTTTGTTTTTTTTTAAGCAAAACAGAAAGATTTTGCCAGTTATTTACAAATTGTTGTAAAGAAAAATGTGTGCTACAGTTGTTGTCCTTAGCAATGCTAATAAGTGAATGGTTTTGAAAAAATTGAGTGGATAACAGTGCTATGTGCTGACGTACAAGAGGTCCAAAATTTTCACTAGTTTTTTTAAATCTTGAAATTGATTTATCCTTTAGTTATCAAGCTTATTTCTAGTAATAAAGTATAACTTTAAACCATAACAAATGGTCAGATTTTTACCCAACTAACATATTTATCAAAGCCAATATTTAATGCGCCTACCTACAAACAACACATTTGCTTTTTCAAGGCATATACATTAAAGCATATAGGCTAGGTTTTAAATCAAATCAACTCATAATAATATATACATTTATATATACATTATAAATATATATATATATATATAGTGTTTATCTTGGTCTATCTAAAAATAGCTATTTAAAGAATGAAAAGTGCTTGAAAAGAAAATATAGCATAGTGTCCATTACCTTTTCTAAATGACTTGTTTGATATTTTCTATTGTTCTAGAACAACATTCATATTTCTTTAGTTATTGGCATACTTGAATCCAATATTAGGCCTTTATATTAAAAAAATCTGGCTGTTGAACTCACATTATTATAATAGAAAGAAAACGTCTATTCATGGAAGAAAAATGTCTTCCAATTAATATTTTGAAAATCTGAGTTTATTTCAGACATTTTTTTCACTCAGTGTCATGGGCTTTATTGCATTTTTAAAGTAAAACCGTTTTTGTTGACATTTTTACTTATGTAGGCCAACATAATATATTCTTGTGAAAAAGAAAAAAAACTAGATTTAGAATCTATCAAGAATAATAAGTTTAATCTCAAAAACAACTTTTGCTATTAGACTGCATAGTGTTTCTTTCAAGCCTCTCTTTAACAATGCATCGTCTCCAGCCCCTCCCCCAGGCTAGAGCACATCCCACTCTCTCCCCAGTTCAAAATAGAAAAATAAATATCTTTTTAGAAAATATATACTTAAACACTTTTACTAATAGTATTCCCACCCCCAGTGTTTCTTACAGACTTTTTTTCTCTGGGGGTGGGGGGCTAAAATTTTCAGGGGGTGGTGGACACTGTTAAAAGCAGAGGCGTAGCGAGGGGGGTGCGGCGAATGCGGCGGATGCGGACCGCAGCGGGTGACACCATTTAGGGGGGTGACACCAAGGCAAAAAATAGCAAAATATATAGAGAAAAACTTGAGGGGGGGGGGTGCAAATCGAAAATTTGAAAGTTTGTCCCCGGGAAGGGTCGCTACGCCTCTGGGGGGTGACACCATTAAGTTCCGCACCGGGTGAAACCTGACCTCACTACGCCACTGGTTAAAAGTATATATTTTCTAAATAAATTCCGTTTCGTTCGAAGGGGGGTAGACTCTCCTCTCCCCCCCCCCCCCCAAGAGATGCCTGGAAGAAATTCTGTTCCCCCCCTGAGAAAAATGTCTGAAAGAAACACTCATACTGTTATTATACATGTGTTACATGTTGTGTTAGTAAAGAAAAAAAAAAGACTAAAACTACAAGCCCCGGCCACCTGAAATGTATGATCACCGCCATCGCTGTTCTCATCTTTTACCGGCAGTTCCACCGACGACCGTCTCAGCTCGTCATCATCGCTTCTCTCAGCAGACGTGAACCTTGACCCGGAAACCTTACGACTGGGTATTGTGTACTGTCTGCCGTGTCCACTTCCGGTTGACTCGAGTGTGGCCTGTGACCCGTGGTGATGACGTGTTGACTGGCGAGGGTGAAGCAAGGAGAGCAAGGACCCGGTTATCGAACTTTTGCCTCTTGGCCTGCTTTTGGGATTTGAACACAAAAATAGAATTCGAGTTAAAAATTCTACTAAATTGTAAATTATGATTGGGAATTTAGTGAATGCGAGAAAGATGATTGGTAGAAATTGGATGCAATTGTGGACAGTGTTTCTTCCAGACTTCCCCCCCCCCCCCCACCCCCGAAGAGATGCCTGGAAGAAACTCTGATTGTGGATTTATTCTCTCTGAGAGCAGTAACTTGAGACAGCTCTAATTTCGGTGGTCCATGGGATGGGGGGTCTTAAACTGTGTTTCTTCCAGACTTTTTTCTACGGGGGGGGGGGGGGGGCACTTGAAATTTTTGAGGGGGGGGGGGCGGACTAAAATTTCCGGAGGGGGTGGGCGGTCACTGTTAAAAGTATATATTTCCTATGTAAATTCCATTTCGTTGGGGGGATGGTAATTTCTCTTCGCCCGAAGAGATGCCTGGAAGAAACTCTGGTCTTAAACCCACTCAAACCCCTGCCCTACGCTACAGGTACAGAGGTTATATAGTTGAGTACTTTATTACATATTGTGTTACCTAAACGGCTAAAATACGTATTTAATGTTTTAACGAGTGGCCAGTTCAACAGTTGGGATTAATAAGATTTTTTTTTTAATTAGCTTTAAAAATAATATTTTACAGTGGGAAAAACGTATTTTATTGTCAGCAAGTCTCTTTTTTTTGTCATTGAAAATGAATTAAATGTTATATAGTTTAAAAATTTAGATTTAGATACATCGATTTTTAATTAAACAATAAGCTTTAGTAAAACTGAGAAAAACATTAATTAACTGAACACAGAGGCAAAGACTAAAGTCACACAACACAATACAACTTAGCAAAACACAATCGGTAAATTTTCTTCAATAACAAATAGTACAACATGGTAGGTGAACGTTCATAGAAAACTAAGGCAACGCTTAAACTAAATTCAAAACTAGTCGTTAACATTTTGAAAAATTCACACCATTATTATTCCTTCTCTTTTTTTTTCTTTCTCTTTATTTTGAAAATTTCAATAATTATAAAAATGTCTGATGCTATCCTACAATAAAAATCTGTCATGTTTATGGAGCAAACTGTAAATTGTGTAAACAACGTATTAGGAATGATTTTGATATATTTGGTGAAAATTATTACAATTATTTTCAAATTAAAACGTGAATTTCCTTACAGGATCAAATAAAGATTTTGAAATAAATATATTTAATTAAAACTATTTTAAAATGTAGACCAATAATAATATAAAAAAAATAATTGTTTTCCAAATGTAATTTTTTTAAAAGTTTTTTTCGTGTGTGCCTCAGACATGTAATTTACAGCGTCAATTTGCCTTGCATGTTCACTTTAGTATTACAGTTTTCATCATCGGCTTTTGAGGACTGAAACAGATTCACAACACTAACACTTTTTTCTTACATGTAGGCAGTGGCGTAGCCAGGATCGTCTCAATGGGGGGAGGGTTCCAATTTTTACCCAGGGACAAACTTTCGATTTGCACCCCCCGTCCTCAAACTTTCGATTTGCACCTCCCCCCCCCCTCAAACTTTCGATTTGCACCTCATACTTTATATATATACATACCGAGGGGTCTATGGGGGGGGGGGGAGTTATGACAATTTGGAACCATTTTGAACCAGCTTCAAAAGCTGGTTCCAAATGGTTCCAAATTGTTGTTGCCAGAAAGCATATTTTTCAACCAAAATTGATTTTTTTACATTTGTGAAATAAGCACAAAATGATCTCAGGTTTTATTAAGGCTTGAAATATTCAAACAAATAATTACTTGTAAAATATTGGTAATTTAAATATTTTTTGTATTGTTGAAGATGACATTCAGGGTGTTGTGGTGATAGGGGATGTTATATTATTTAATATAAATAAACTACTAGGCTATACCCCATTGACCGCTATTATGTATTTTATTATGGAAAACAAATTTTGTGACTTTCGTTGTTTTACTTTCCCTGGCCACTCCCGTTGACTTCAAGGAGAGATTGAGGGCGGTTTTTGAAAATATTTGAATTGATAAAATAATTCAAAACGGTTCTTCAACGGATAATATTCAATACAAAAATATGAAAATGAGTGTAATCGATTGTTCCCAAAGGTCTTTAATTCTTAAGAATGTAAACATAATTTCATCGCTCGAAATAATATGTTTAGGATTTTTAAAAATATACAGTATGATTACATAGACTTTTCAAGCCTATACAAAAAGTCTAATTACATATTTATTTCTAAACTTAATTTACAAATGTGTCATACAATAGTGTTATCTATTTATTTTTTCAGTAATTAACAGACATTTAGTAGCAACAGCCTTTTTTTGTGCTTTCTAAAACAAGTTCAGATATTCAATCAGCTTATAATTATTCGATTCAAAATTTATGCATTACGCGAAAAAAGTCCAATAGTGGTGCAGCATACAAAAAATTGCTGTAGTATTTACACGCATCTTAGTATATTTAAGTTATTAACTTTGAGTTCTATAAAACTTGTTTATTAACACTATTTTGTATTAATATAAATAAATTATAGATTCAAATTTATAATGCAAGCTCTAGTGACGTAGTCACTGACTATCCACTTGGTTACATCCCTTTAGTGAAAACAGAGCATGCGTACAGAACTATTTTCTTCACATATTTATGTTAGGTTAGATTGCGTTTTAATGTCTTGTAGATCCAATAGATAAAAATGTGAACAGATAAAAGCATTGACCTAATCTCTTAACTATAGACACTTTATAAAATCCTATTATGCACAGATGTATTATTAGTTGGTGTTTATTATGTACATTTAATTCACAGTAAAAGGAGACAAATGGGTACCTAACTCACGTTAAGGAAAGTAAAGGCGGCTGGGCATAGTGTTGACCACACTATCTCTTCATATGCCGAGCACACAGAAACAATTGAACTCTACTTCACTTGCCCCATAGACCGTCAGGTTTGAAAGGGAAACTTTTTGTTACTTTTAAAAGGGCGACAACTTACTTCCCAGTCCACTGGTGTTGTGTTATATCCTCATGATCTGCAATCACCATCTTTTCAACATCCAGCGATGGCCGCCTAAAGACATAATTAACGATGGCCATTTTAAATTAATAAAAGCGTTTGATCTTATTTATAAATTGTTCATGCTCCTACCTCTCCTTATTTATATATCTGTACCGATCTTTTAATTGCCGGTGTTTGAAATTTTTTAATTATTTATCTTTCATAGTTACATTAAATTTACGTTTCAGCAGATGTGAGTTTGGAATTTAGATAGCATTAGAATTTAACTTAAATCCAAATTTTAAACGAGGAGGATAATATATTTGGCCTAATCCTAGTAGTTTTTTAATGATACATAATTAGAATAAGAGTTTTGGAATTCTCTCCCCTCTTGCAACCAAACGAAATTAAAAATAAATTTGCACATTTGCACTTTTTGATACTCCCTCTCCCTCAAAAGTCACCTTCTTTTTCGAGTATGAAGTTATTGATGTTGAGCCCTAATAGAATACCATTGAGATTTTTAAAAATGTATTTATTTATTTTGTGTGTGTGGAGTTAATGTGTTTTTAGAGTTTTTTTTTTAAATAATAAGAAACGGTAAGGTTATATTTTTGTTGTCCTTTCGTTTTTAATAAAAACTTTACTATCTCAAGCAGTCGTTAGACACGAAGCGCTGAGTATTATATAGAAAAATGCAATACGTAAATCTTCTTATCCTCTACCTAATAAATAACAAAAGTCCAAAACTGAATTACGACTAGAAATGAAATCGATTCGATGTTATGATATCTACATTAAATATGTGTCAATAAATCGAACAAAACCTATTCTTGGAGGCCATTCCCGGACAGCTATTCATTAAATCGATAATACCTATTCTAGGTTGAAGGTTCTTCCGAGGAAATTAGTCAATATGTCAAACAATACCTACTCTAGGTTGGAGGTAGCTCCTAGGAAATTAGTCAATAAATAAAAAAAATACCTACTCTAGGTTGTAGATCTTTACGAGGACTTTAGTCAATAAATCAAACAATACCTACTCTAGGTTGGAAATTGTTTCTAGGAAGTTAGTCAAGATATCAAACAAAACCCACTTTAGGTTGTAGATCTTTCCTAGGAATTTAGTCAATAAATCAAAAAAAAATTCATAAAAAACGTTTTAATAACAAGCTTTTATGTAATGATGCACTAAAAAGTAGAAAATAAATTATAGACTTCTATTTAAATAACTATAAAGAAAAGCGTGGGTCACTTTAGTATCTATTGGATACCTTTACTAATGTTAAGGAAGACACCCACGCTTTTCTTTATAGTTATTTAAATAGTAGTCTATAATTTATTTTCTACTTTTTAGTGCATCATTACATAAAAGCTTGTTATTAAAACGTTTTTTATGAATTTTTTTTTCAGTACTTTACATGTTTTATCTACAATAGAGTTACATGACTAAAAACCATTGCGCGCCTTCTGAATATCACGTTCAGTAGGCGCGCAATGGTTTTTGAACGCAGCCATTACGTGGTCGTGATGGCGCAGCTATTGATGACGCGTGTGGTGTGGTTGGCTAGACATGCCTACTAATTCGGTCCAAATTTTAATTAATTCATAAAAAATCAATTAGGCATCCAATTAAGTCAAATTTAGTTTCAGATTGCATTGTCTTCATGTCTTGACCCATGTGCCAACTGTGAATCGTGTCGGTCAAGTAGAACTGTCCGAATTTTCACTCCTGCGTTTCCGTCTAGACAGACAGACTGTCGACTGACGAGGAAGTGAGTTAAAAAAAATTCATAAAAAAAATTCATAAAAAAAAATTCATAAAAAACGTTTTAATAACAAGCTTTTATGTAATGATGCACTAAAAAGTAGAAAATAAATTATAGACTACTATTTAAATAACTATAAAGAAAAGCGTGGGTCACTTTAGTATCTATTGGATACCTTTACTAATGTTAAGGAAGACACCCACGCTTTTCTTTATAGTTATTTAAATAGTAGTCTATAATTTATTTTCTACTTTTTAGTGCATCATTACATAAAAGCTTGTTATTAAAACGTTTTTTATGAATTTTTTTTCAGTACTTTACATGTTTTATCTACAATAGAGTTACATGACTAAAAACCATTGCGCGCCTACTGAATATTACGTTCAGTAGGCGCGCAATGGTTTTTGAACGCAGCCATTACGTGGTCGTGATGGCGCAGCTATTGATGACGCGTGTGGTGTGGTTGGCTAGACATGCCTACTAATTCGGTCCAAATTTTAATTAATTCATAAAAAATCAATTAGGCATCCAATTAAGTCAAATTTAGTTTCAGATTGCATTGTCTTCATGTCTTGACCCACGTGCCAACTGTGAATCGTGTCGGTCAAGTAGAACTGTCCGAATTTTCACTCCTGCGTTTCCGTCAAGACAGACTTACGACAGACAGAGGAAGTGAGTTAAATAAAAGCTTGTAAAAACGTTTTAATAACAAGCTTTTATGTAATGATGCACTAAAAAGTAGAAAATAAATTATAGACTACTATTTAAATAACTATAAAGAAAAGCGTGGGTCACTTTAGTATCTATTGGATACCTTTACTAATGTTAAGGAAGACACCCACGCTTTTCTTTATAGTTATTTAAATAGTAGTCTATAATTTATTTTCTACTTTTTAGTGCATCATTACATAAAAGCTTGTTATTAAAACGTTTTTTATGAATTTTTTTTTCAGTACTTTACATGTTTTATTTACAATAGAGTTACATGACTAAAAACCATTGCGCGCCTACTGAACATCACGTTCAGTAGGCGCGCAATGGTTTTTGAACGCAGCCATTACGTGATGGCGCAGCTATTGAAGGTGATGACGCGTGTGGTGTGGTTGGCTAGACATGCCTACTAATTCGGTCCAAATTTTTATTAATTCATAAAAAATTAATTAGGCATCCAATTAAGTCAAATTTAGTTTCAGATTGCATTGTCTTCATGTCTTGACCTACGTGTCAAATGTGAATCGTATCGGTCAAGTAGAACTGTCCGAATTTTCACTCCTGCGTTTCGGTCTAGACAGACTGACGACTGACGAGGAAGTGAGTTAAATAAAAGCTTGTAAAAACGTTTTAATAACAAGCTTTTATGTAATGATGCACTAAAAAGTAGAAAATAAATTATAGACTACTATTTAAATAACTATAAAGAAAAGCGTGGGTCACTTTAGTATCTATTGGATACCTTTACTAATGTTAAGGAAGACACCCACGCTTTTCTTTATAGTTATTTAAATAGTAGTCTATAATTTATTTTCTACTTTTTAGTGCATCATTACATAAAAGCTTGTTATTAAAACGTTTTTTATGAATTTTTTTTTCAGTACTTTACATGTTTTATTTACAATAGAGTTACATGACTAAAAACCATTGCGCGCCTACTGAACATCACGTTCAGTAGGCGCGCAATGGTTTTTGAACGCAGCCATTACGTGATGGCGCAGCTATTGAAGGTGATGACGCGTGTGGTGTGGTTGGCTAGACATGCCTACTAATTCGGTCCAAATTTTAATTAATTCATTAAAAATCAATTAGGCATCCAATTAAGTCAAATTTAGTTTTAGATTGCATTGTCTTCATGTCTTGACCCACGTGCCAAATGTGAATCGTATCGGTCAAGTAGAAGTTTCCGAATTTTCACTCCTGCGTTTCCATCTAGACTGACGACAGACAGAGGAAGTGAGTTAAATAAAAGCTTGTAATAAAAGCTTGTAAAAATACCTACTCTAGGTTGGAAGTTGTTCCCAGAGAATTAGACAACATTTCAAACAATACCTACTCTGGATTAGAGGTTGTTCTCAGTAAATTAGTCAAACAATGCCTACTCTAGGTTTGAAGATGTTCCCAGTAAGTGAGTTGATATATCAAACAATACCTACTCAAGGTTAGAAGTTGTTCTAAGTAAATCAGTCTCACAATACCTACTCTAGGTTTGAGGTCCATCTAAGGAAATTAGTCAACATTTTAAACAATACCTACTCAAGGTTTGAGGTCGTGCCCAGGAAGTTAGGTCGGAATGACCCCAGGGACGACTCGGTGTAAGGTACATCTGCGACCAGGTCATCCCAGAACGGGTCTTTGATCAGGTTTGGATGTTTGCCGTAGCACTGGTCGGTCAGACAGAAGGCGACCTGGGGTAGGACAAGAAATGTGTAGGGCAACATCCGGCAAGTTGTATATGTCAACATCCGGCAAGTTGTATATGTCAACATCCGGCAAGTTGTATATGTCAACATCCGGCAAGTTGTATATGTCAACATCCGGCAAGTTCTATGTGGCATCATCCGGCAAGTTGTGTATGTCAACATCCGGCAAGTTGTATATGTCAACATCCGGCAAGTTGTATATGTCAACATCCGGCAAGTTGTATATGTCAACATCCGGCAAGTTGTATATGTCAACATCCGGCAAGTTGTATATGTCAACATCCGGCAAGTTGTATATGTCAACATCCGGCAAGTTGTATATGTCAACATCCGGCAAGTTGTATATGTCAACATCCGGCAAGAGTTGTATATGTAAACATCCGGCAAGTTGTATATGTCAACATCCGGCAAGTTGTATATGTCAACATCCGGCAAGTTGTATATGTCAACATCCGGCAAGAGTTGTATATGTCAACATCCGGCAAGAGTTGTATATGTCAACATCCGGCAAGAGTTGTATATGTCAACATCCGGCAAGTTGTACACTAAAGGTTTTTTGGGGGGTTTTATATTGAGTTTTCAAGAAGATTGATAGGGTATCGTGTCGGCTGTTACTGTCATGTCGCAGTAATCAGAATACGCTGAACTGTACCTACAGATTTTATGGGACGGCATGGCATAAGTTGTAATGCGCATGGCGGCTACAAGAAAGTCTCGAGTTCGGATCCGGGTCCAAGGCAGTAGAATGTCCATGTAAAGGTGGCTGGGCATAGTGCTGACCCCGCCCTACCGTCATATGCAGAGATCAAGAAACCTATGAACTCTACTTCATCTGCCCAATGGACCGCTAGGTCTATAGAGGATTCTTTACTTTTTTTCCTTTTTTTTACCTGCATATTTTACGGTGCAAGTTAATTAAGAGTTGGGCTAAACTTCCCTGTCCTTCCCGAGATCCGTTTATAGCAATTCACACAAAAATGCATCGGAAAATAATAAAGATTACATTTAAAATTACAAAAAATGAAAGAGATATCATTGGCCAAAGCGCATTAAAATGTTATCAATAAAATATCATAAAAGAAGCAATTAACTTTGATAGACAAAATTAGTCCTTAGTTTTTTTTTTTTTTAAAGATTTTTTCGTTATCAATAAAATATCATAAAAGAAGCAATTAACTTTGATAGACAAAATTTTTCCTTAGTTTTTTCAAGAGGGGGGGGGGGGTACTAAACCCTTACATCCCTCCCCCCCCCCCCCCCCCCGGCTCACCATTGCTTGTCTCCTCCCCCCCCCCCCCCCCCCAGTTAATCTGTCAATACAAGTCAGATACTTACAGAAGTGTGTCTGTCAATTAACCAATTGATATCGTAATCATCGTCGTCCTCTCCAAATGGGTTGATCATCTGCTCAGCTACCTACATTAAAACACGAAGGGCTAATTACTTTTTCTAATTATAATTATATTTTAAGATACTTTTAAAACCAAATGTTATATGGTGGTAGAGGATTGTTTTTTATTAGGAAATATAAATCTTAACTAAGGGTATTTATCAAAAACTTAATGACTTAATTAAGAATTCATATGCTTAGATAGTAAATAGGTTAAGTATCCTGTTGTATATAAGGCAGCCGCAAGTTTAAAATAAGCCTAAGGCGATGGTCTATACAATACACCATACCATTTTATATATGGAAGTCGAACAGCATAATGTAAGCCTGAGTACTAGGTCAGGAAACTCAAGTTAAACGTATATAGGACGTCAAGACACTTACATTGAGCCTTATCGTAAGCTCATCATGACGTTAAGACACTTACCTTAAGCTCATCATGACGTCAAGTCACTTATCTTAAGCTCATGTATGACGTCAAGACACTTACCTTAATCCCCATCACGACGTTAAGACACATACATTAAGCCCATCACGACGTCAAGACACTTACCATAAACCCACTGACACATACCTCAAGCCCACTATGAGGTCTAGACACATACCTTTAAGCCCACTATGAGGTCAAGAAACATACTTTAAGCCCATCACTACGTTAAGACACATACCTCAAGCCCACTATAAAGTCTAGATACATACCTTAAGCCCACTATGATGTCAAGAAACATACCTTGAGCCCATCACGACGTTAAGACACATACCTCAAAACCACTATATAGTCTAGACACATACCTTAAGCCCACTATCAAGTCTAGACACAAACCTTAAGCCCACTATCAAGTCTAGACACAAACCTTAAGCCCACTATCAAGTCTAGACACAAACCTTAAGCCCACTATGGGGTCTAGACACATACCTTAAGCCCACTATCAAGTCTAGACACAAACCTTAAGCCCACTATGAGGTCTAGACACATACCTTAAGCCTACTATAAAGTCTAGACACATACCTTAAGCCCACTATGAGGTCTAGACACATACCTCAAGCCCACTATAAAGTCTAGACACATACCTTAAGCCCACTATGAAGTCTAGACTTATACCTTAAGCCCACTATAGCTCTAGACACTTACTTAAGCACACTATAAGGTCTAGTAACATATCTTAAGCCAACTATGAGGTCTACACATACCTTAAGCCCACTATGAGGTCTAGACACATACCTTAAGCCCATCACGACGTTAAGACACATACCTTAAGCCCACTATAAGGTCTAGACACATACCTTAAGCCCACTATGAGGTCTAGACACATACCTTAAGCCCTACTTACCTTAAGCCCACTATGATGTCAAGAAACATACCTTAAGCCAGCCCATGTAGAAGAGAAACTGCAGGATGGTGAAGCCGGGTATGTAGTAATCCCCCTCGTACCCGGGGTACTTCTTGCTGATGTCCAGGTACTGTTGGCCTAGCAGAGCCACGGCAAAGTACGAGTAGGTAGCGAACGTCACCACCTGCACAGGTGATACAAAGGTGAGGTATGGGTGATACCAGCGTGATACAATTATGGTGCATTGGTGATTGTAGCGTATCAAGGCATGAAATCAGCATGATATAACGGTGATATGTGTATAACGTCAACAGGATACAAAACACAAGTGTTATGTCCTTAATATAGGCATGAAGGAAATATGGTATAAACATGATAAAGTTATTTTTAAAAAACAGGCGTGGGATAAAAGTGTGATACTAAAGTGATAGATGTGTAATATTATAGTGTTAATAAGTTGATACAAACTTAATACCAACACGATTTTTGTGTGTGATAAAATCGAGATAACACCATGATATATAGGTTATGTGATACAAATGTGATGCCACCATCTTTTCAAGTGTGAAAAAATCGAGATAATAATATGATATATAGGCTTTGTGATACAAACGTGATACATGTATGATATAAGTTTGATACAAACGTGTGGTAAAAGTCAAGCTCAACTCACCTGAGTGTAAACAAGAGGCACAGTGATCCAATCATACACGAAACATAACGAGCACTTATCCCTGAAGTCAGCTAGATACTGTGGCGGAAATTCAAACCAATTAAAATTCTCTTAATATTTAATTAAGCTTCGACATTTTAACAGTGTTATTTTGTGGCTAGTATGTTTTGAATACTAGAACTACTATAGTTTAAATTCTGTTTAGTTTACCTAAATTAAGAAAAATTATGTATGTTTACCAACATCTCAAAAGTGTGATGTGTAGGCTATTAGTCTAATTTAAAATTATAATTTTAGTTCACCTAAATTTTCTAAATTTTAAAATAGAAGATAAACGCAGTATGTCCAAAAAAAAAACATAATCTCGAGAAAAAATGAGTTTATAAATCTCATTCCAATATTAAAATAGTGCAAAATATTATGTTTAAACATTCATAAAATATTTGCATTCTACTTTTCTGGCATTGTACATGAGTGTTCTTGTAGCTTGTGTTATTGCCAGTATCAATATAAATGTACATAGATTTGACAAAAAAAGTGGACAAACTGCATTTGTCTTCTATACCCTCGTTATGTTTACCTAAATCCTAAAAGTGTAACGTATATTCACCTAAATTTCAAAGCATACACTGTATTATAACCTTAATCATAAAAGCATACTTCCTATCTAAATTATAAAGCGTACACATAACATTTCCCTAAATTATATAAGTATGATACCTGTTTACCAAAATTACTCAAAAATTTAACTAATTATTTTTTCTCTAATAAATGTTTGCTTACATCATGTAATTAAAACAAATTACCTCAATGACCATCCTGAGACCAAAGTCCGTCTGGATCCTCCCCTCCCTTCTGGCTGTGACTAGAACCTGGTTCGCCCACATCATGGGCACCCAGAACTTGAGGTACCGACACTGGACCTTCTCGTAGAGATCCGCCTCTTCCTTTGTGATGAAACCTGAAAGTGTAGAAGACGAATTTGATTACGTCCCTTTACAATAAGCTAACAGGATAATGCGTAACAGCAGGGTTTATGTTTTATTATTTGATTTTATGTTTATGTGAAATAAAACGTTAATTACAGCGCGTGTATATTTCCAATCATGGTTCAAACGTGTGTACAAGAATTGTGTGTGTATATAGAAGTGTTTTTGAATACGTGTATAAGTGTATGTACGTGTGTGCGTGTTTGTGTAATGTGTGTGCGTGCAGTGGCGTAGCCAGGATCGTCTCAAGGGGGGGGGGTTCCAATTTTTACCCGGGGACAAACTTTCGATTTGCACCCCCCCTCAAACTTTCGATTTCCACCCCCCCTCAAACTTTCGATTTGCACCCCCCCCTCATACATTTTATATATACCGAGGGGTCTGTGTGTGGGGGGGGGGGGGGTTATGACCCCCCCCATAACCCCCCCTGCCTACGCCACTGTGTGCGTGTACGTATGTACGTGAGTGCGAGTATCATTCATCATCATTTTTCTTTTGTAGCCTCTAGGGAGCAGAGGGCTGCAGTTACACTTTTCCAACGGACTCGGTTTTGGGCTGCTCCCTTTATTAATAATAGTGCTGAAAATTATTAGTACTTTATAAATTCGCATGCGTTTTTTTGAGAAATCAGAAATAGCGTAAACTACTACTTCCGGTCAACGGAAATTACTCAAAATTTGACAGAAGGCAGAGAATTAGATCTTCTACTTACGTGTGAAATTTCATTTATTTAAAAAAAATTGAAAGTAGAATAAGTTTCACTTGCGGTTACCGGAAATCGCTGAAAAGTTGACACAGAACTACAAATTTGATATAATACTTATATATGAAATTTCATCAACCTAGCTGTAACGGTACTCAAGTTATTGTGTTCACGGACACACATACACACACACATTTGTCCTGAGATCATTTGTCCTGAGATCATTTGTCCTGAGATCATTTGTCCTGAGATCATTTGTCCTGAGATCATTTGTCCTGAGATCATTTGTCCTGAGATCATTTGTCCGTGAGATATTTTGTCTGAGATCATTTGTCCTGAGATATTTTGTCTGAGATCATTTGTCCTGAGATCATTTGTCCGTGAGATATTTTGTCTGAGATATTTTGTCTGAGATCATTTGTCCTGAGATCATTTGTCATGGAACACCATTTTTGGTTATAAGACCAGCTTTAAGTAGACGTTTGTGTATACGAGGCCTTATAAAATAAGCAGACAAATTAGTATCAGCTAAACTGTCATAGTTTGATAGTAATCCATTTTCTTTGCGCATCATTGTGTTTATTTTTTTGACTAGCTAATTCAAGCTAGCATAACGGAATGAATAGTGAATACCGTAGTTTCAAGTAGTTAAAAACTAGCTTTAAGTTAGATACAAAAAAAACACAACTATAATCAGCTTTCATTCTAATATTTTTAAAGCATTAAGCCTTAAGTTTCAATTTCAATGGAAACTATTGTTAAAATAATTAATATCATTAAATATATGCATCAGCTACTGTACTAAATAGATATTAATGTAGTACTATAGTTATTCTATACACCAATACTTTTAAAGTATAAACAGTATCCACCCGGACCATACTATCTATAGCATTTGTTGAAATTGAAGAAATGTTTTTTAAAAAGCTAAAACCTCATTTAAGTCTAAAATTTTCAATAATATGCATTACAACATTAAGATATTCGTTTTAACATACTCTTCTACTTATAAACAAAATTTTAAATTTACAAAATTTATTTAGGCTTTTGTGACAGCATACAAAATCAATAGAAATTTTGCAAGGGAGGACACTTAAAAAAATGTACAAAATTAGTTTTTGTATTTTTTTAGCTGGTTAACTCCCATATTACTATTTTTATAGACAGTATAGACTGTAAGTTGTAAAATGTAAGTCAAGAACAATAACTCGATTTGAATTTTGATACAAGAACATTAACTCAGTGCGACTTACCGGCTTCTACTATGTGATCGATTGTAGGGAATCTTTTCATGACCGAAACACTGACGGCCCGACAGATGAGGATAAGCCCAAACAGAACATACCTGGTGTAAACAGAGACAGAACCATTCATTACATGATCGTAAAATTAATACTTTACTAATATAGAGAGCCAGTGGCGTAGCGAGGTCGGGTGTCACCCGGTGCGGCACTTAATAGTGTCACCCTCCAGAGGCGTAGAAACCCTTCCCGGGGACAAACTTTCAAATTTTCGATTTGCAACCCCCCCCCCCCCCCCCCCCTCAAACTTTTTATTTGCACCCCCCTCCCTCAAACTTTCGATTTGCACCCCCCCCCCCCCACCCCCTCAAGTTTTTCGCTATATATTTTGCTATTTTTTGCCTTGATGTCACCCCCCTAAATGGTGTCACCTGGTGCGGTCCGCACTCCCCCCCCCCCTCGCTACGCCTCTGTAGAGAGCTAGAGTGCTAGCCCGAGAGTCTCGAGTTCAAATCCGGGTTCAAATCAGTGGAAAGTTCCTGATTCCACCCAGTTGTGATGGGTACCTAACTGGAAACAAAGACGGCTGGGCATAGTGCTGACCACACTATCCCTTCATATGCCGAAGTCAATAGAGCAGATGAACTCTACTTCATCTACCCCATGTGTCTTGGGACACGAACGGGATTAAGAAGAAGAGAAGAATGTAATTTACTGGAAAAACTAAAACTTAAGAGTTTCGGTCTAATTGCATACTTTAAAAAAAGATCTAAGTTTATGTACATTTTTTTTTATATGGCATCAAGACTTCTAAACTTATTTTTGGCATTTTCAAGTCGTGCGTTCCTTGAATTACAATTGTGTCACTTAAACTTTGAGTACAATGCTGTATTGTTTTTCCACGGATATTTGACACAATCTTACCCAACCACATCTGACACAATCTGACCTCACCACACCTGACACAATCTTACCTGGCCACACCTGACACAATCTTACCTGGCCACACCTGGCCACAATCTTACCTGGCCACACCTGACACAATCTTACCTGGCCACACCTGACACAATCTTACCTGGCCATAATCTTACCTGGCCACACCTGACACAATCTTACCTGGCCACACCTGACACAATCTTACCTGGCCACACCTAACACAAGCTTACCTGGCCAAACCTGGCCATAATCTTACCTGGCCACACCTGACATAATCTTACCTGGCCATAATCTAACCTGGCCACAATCTTACCTGGAAACAAGCTTACCTGGCCAAACCTGGCCACAATCTTACCTGGCCACACCTGACATAATCTTACCTGGCCACAGACCGCCTCATCATTCTGCTCTTGTCGTCGAAGCCGTGCAGGTAGGTTGCCATGACGAAGAGTGTCCTAGAGAACGAGAATAGAAAACAAGACTTTGTTTGCGTTAGTGACGTAGACGACTAGACCCGTCACCAGTGAACTGAGAAGAACTTGGGATAGCTACTCTATCATATAAACACAGGTGCATGTATATATATATATATATATATATATATATATATATATATATATATATAATTATATGTATATATATATTTAGATATGTAAATACGTATATATATATATATATATATATATATATATATATATATATATATATATATATATATATATATATATATATATATATATATATATATATATATATATATATATATATATATACATATACATATATATATATCGCTTCCCTAGAACCAGACTGTTCTAAATCTACTTTTCAACAATCTTCACCACAATAAGGCTTTACAGTTTTCTTTTCATTAACATTTCTATATTGACTATCCTACTGGTTGAAACTAAATTGTTGTGTAATAATGATGAGGTATAAAGCCATGGTACCTTAGTGAATTTAAAAAAGCAACGGAGAATAAATATCGAGAAAAAAAAAAAAACATAAATTGAGTAAGAACAGTCAGGTTCTAGGGAAGCGGTGTATATATATATATATATATATATATATATATATATATATATATATATATATATATATATATATATATATATATATATACATTTTCTTGAATATATATTATTAAAGAATTGTGTTACTGTAAGATCGCGAATTGTACATGCCAAAACAAAACAAAAATCACACGAATACAGCTAGTTGGTGCAAATATTTTTTTATTTGTATTTGTTAGTCTGTAAGTTCCAAATACTGCAGCTTAATTAAACTACAGCAATTTAAATTAACCATTACAGAACATCATATTTACAACAAGCTGTCAAATACAAAACACATAAACTGTTTTTCAGTAAATAGTATTTGTTGTGTTGATAGCTGAAATTTTTTAAAAGAATTCATGAGCGAACAAAGCTTCAACAACTTTAGTTTAAATTATTGTTTTTTACATTAAATTATTGTTTTTTACATTAAATTATTGTTTTTTACATTAAATTATTTGTTTTTTACATTAAATTATTGTTTTTTACATTAAATTATTGTTTTTTACATTAAATTATTGTTTTTTACATTAAATTATTTGTTTTTTACATTAAATTATTGTTTTTTACATTAAATTATTGTTTTTTACATTAAATAATTGTTTTTTACATTAAGTTATTTGTTTTTTACATTATTTAATGGCGCCCGCATGGCTGTGTGATTTGTAAACATCACGTGACCCTTTTTTACAGTAGTCTTTACACTTAAAATACAAATTTAAAACGTAATTAGATTTAAACTATATTTTTGCGTTGTCATCTGTGGTGCATTTATGTGAATATTATTACAATAAAAGAAATCACTCCATTTAATACTGATCAAAATTTCGTTCACAGATGTTTACTCAAATTAGCCCCGAAGAAAGTCTACCACCCCTCTCCCGAACGAAATGGAACTCATATAGAAAATATAAACTTAACAGTGTCCGCCCCCCCCCCCCCGGAAATTTTAGTCCGCCCCCCCCCCCGCTCCCCCCCCCCCCCCCCCCCGAAAATTTCAAGTCCACCCCCTACCCCCAGATAAAAAAGTCTGGAAGAAATACTGATTAGCCTCAACAGACAATATGACTAAAGCAAAGATGTGTAACTATAAAATGTGTGTGTTACAAATTTCTTTTATACTTCCACTGAGTAAGTTTAACATTCCTTTTTGCAGATAATTTTCATTGATATACACAGTGTACCGTAAAACACACTGCCGTTATTCAGCACAAAGGTGTGACAGAGGCCTATGAATCATACTCCATTTTAAGCTTACTAGCATTTTAATTATTAGGTGCATGTCACATTGTAGACCCCGTCCTATAATTAAGTTTTTCTTAACAAGATTGCGTAACTCTTGACGCATAAATACTACTTGCAGTTTTTTCATGCAGGATTACATAATGAATGAGATAACTTAACTGACAGGCGAACGTTTGCACTGCGGGACTAGGCTATCAATTTTAAACTACCGGGGAAGAAGAGTATTTCCTGCAAGCCCCAAACTAGGGGAGAGAAAAATTGTTTTTTTTTATGCAAGGGAGAGAACACTAGTTTAACAAGAGTAAAATAAAATATTTTTTTTAAAAAGCAACTGTTGAAATATTAGTTTTTGCGTAAAATAGAAAAGGGGGGGGGGGAGTGAAAGAGAGAGAGAGAGACAGAGAGAGAGAGAGAGAGAGAGAGAGAGAGAGAGAGAGAGAAAGAGAATGCTAGTTTTAAAATCAGTGAAAGAAAAGTACATTTAAAAACAAGGGAGAGAATGCTAGTTTAAAGTTAAGGGAGAGAACATTTAGTCGCTAAAACTGTAAAATGAATTGAAAGTATATTTTTAGGTACTAACGCATTTGAAATCTAAAGGCTCTTGATGATAATTATCATTTTTCCGTTAAACGGTTTATGTAGACCGTTACTGTAAATGTGTATACACTATTTTGTTTCTATTTGTAATATTTATTATTATGAAAGCGTAATAGTCTTAAATGTCGTTGTTTTTTTAATGATGGTCTATTATTTTAGATATTAATGCTAAAGCCGGAACCAGTTTTCAAAAAAAAATTCTTTATTCAGCAGTCTACATCTCCTCGTCCCCTCAGCCCACCACGCCGAGAAAAAAAAATCCCTTGAATCATCATTTAATTTTAATTACACATTTGCATTTTCAGTTTCAGGTTGGTTTTTAATTTTTCTTTATATTTAGACGTTTTGTATTACATCTATGTATATGTAAACCATCTTAAATGAATGAAAGCAGGCTACAAGTAAGAAAGAAATATTACTATTGTAATATATTGTAATATATTGTATTACTATTTCGTTTTCATTTGATGTTCGAAATTATGTAAGAATTTGATGTTGATGTACTTGTTTTAAATTGCAAATAAAAGTATTTAAAAAAAAAAAAAAAAAAAAAAAAAAAAAAATTACAACTATGTTCCCTGTATTCGGCGTCAAGTATTTCAGTTTCAAAAAAAAAAAAAAAAAAAAAAAAATTCTTTATTCAGCAGTCTACAAAACAAAAAAAAAAATAAAAAAAAAAAAAAATATTCAGCAGTCTAGTTCAGGGGTCGGCAACCCTTTGAGGCCGAAGAGCCAAATGTTACAACTTTCAACAATTCCCATTGTCGAAAGAGCCATTAAATATTTTTTTTAATTTCAATATTTTATTATTTTATATTTGATTTGTTATTTAAAATAAATAGCTTTAACTACGAAATAATATTTATTCATATAAAAACATGAAATTGTTTCGCCAGATTAATGAAATTAGTAATAAAAAAATAATTATAGAACTATCCCAAATCCACTTAAGTTTACTTTTTTTTTCTTTACGGACATCACCGGCTCAGGTGTCTGCCATTTCTCAGGTAGGCCTCAACACGGAAAACTCCGACTAACTGTCCTTGGGTATCGGTTTGATTACCGTTTATCAGTCGCTTCTGTCCTTTGGTTCTCACCAGGCTTATCTTCCACCCCACTAAACGAAGGTAAACTGGTACCCCACTATCCAGTAGCCGGCTCAACCGTAGGAAGCTAATAACTAAAAAGCTCACGTCACTCAGGTCAAATTAAGGATTACTAACAGATAGGGAAATGCATTCTGAATAAAATAACAATCCCCATTTAACGATATTCGTAAAAAGTCGGCACTTGGGCAGCGGCAAGCATGGAATTGTTGTCACGTGACTGTCCCCAGCACGGATGTGGGACTGGACCTGGTGCCCAAGCGGCTGTCAGCTGTCCGTATACTTTCTACTGCACATATTCTCTCTGTTCTCTGATGATGTTTTTACTCTGTTTAATTAAACTTGTGTTTCTTTACAGTATAATGTTGTTATGAGTTTTGAAAATAAAATAATATAGCCTAACTATTATTATTTGTGTAAAGAGTTGGAGAGCCGCATCTTGACATCAAAAGAGCCGAATGCGGCTCGCGAGCCGCAGGTTGCCGACCCCTGGTCTAGTTCTTTACCACTAGACAACGCCATCGCATAACACTTTACTAAAACTTTAGCTATAAACTTGACAATGGTTTTTAGTCATTGTAAATAAAACATTTAAAGTACTGGAAAAGGGATTCATAAAAAAGCGTTTTGGTAGCAGGCTTGTGTGTGGTTGTGGTGCGCTGAGAAGTAGAGGGGTGAGTTGTGCACTGCTGTTTGGGTGGCTATATATATATCTTTATAGTTGTTTGAGTGGTGGTGTGTGATTTGTTTTCTGCTTTTTGGTGCATTAATGCATGGGGGCTTGTTGTTGAAACGTTTTTTTTTAAATTTTGTTTTTAGTCTAGTTCTTATGCCATTTTATTTTCTCCCTTTGATTATTATATATGCAATTGATGTTCATGTTTTTGATGCTGTGTAAAACCATCAAATAAATCATTATTACTGATTTAAATGTTTAAAACAATTGAATTAATAAAAATAAAAATAAAATTTAAAAAAAAATAATAACTGTTTGAGGACTGTATAGATATGATGTTTGAAAGGGAAGCATGTTTACTTTGATGTGTCTCATTGTAATAATATAACTTTTCCGATTGCTTAAAATTTGTATCATTTTAATTCTCTGTAATCCCAAATTTATTTCAGCTCTACCTAAAAACCCAAATCCACCCCGCCCCCCCCCCTCACCCACCACGCCGAGGGGCAAAAAATCCCTTGAATCATCATTTAATTACACATTTGCATTTTCAGGTTGGTTTTTTTAATTTTTAATATTTTTTTTATTTTTAGACGTTTTGTATTAGATCTATATATAAGTAAACCATCTTTAATGAATGAAAGCAGGCTACAAGTAAGAAAGAAATATTACTATTGTAAATCTGTATCAGTTCTCACAAGCCGATGATGAAAACTGTAATACTAAAGCGAACACACAACTGACGCTGTAAATTACATGTCAGAGGCGGGAGAAAAAAAATTTCACATCAACTTATTAGTTAACGCTTTAATATTTAACTGTGATAATCTATTGGCGATTTTTTATTGCATGTAGGAAGTAAATGCGTTTTTGCATTAGAACGACTCTCATAAAACTATGGTTTATGATTTATATGCCTGTAATGAACTGTTTTCGAACATTGTTAGCCTCTTATTAAAAGCCTCGACATTAAAAGTTTCTTAAACAAACAACATAACTATCAGCTTTATTAAAAGATCATAACTACCACCTAGTTGTTTCCCTTTTTTCCACTGTGCAGAGTTATCCTAAGTTAAAATGGTTTAGTCAATGACTGATTGGGTTCAGCCTTGTCGGACCTGTAAATCTTTTGGTTATTAAGCTGGAGAGTCCCCGAGTTCGAATCCACAGGCAGATGAGCCTCGATAGATTGGGACAACAACCCATCTAGGAGAGACAACTCCAAAATCAAACAACTGTGTAGTTTGTTCTTGGAAGAACAAAGACTATTAAAGCAAATCCAAGAAAGAAAAGTAGGCTGAAATCGGAGTCAACAGCCGTGATGGCGGATAACATATTAACCTAAATATTTAAGTGGTCATAGCTTAGTTACAATGTGTGACTACAAACCCACAAACAAACCTACACGCAACATCGTGTCCAAAGTAAATACTTGCAACAAATACATACATCAAGTAAAAGTAAAAGCTTTTTTATTAAATCTTCTAGATTCAAACGTCGTATTTAGTTCTCCATGTGCCTTGTAAATAAAAGTATAGTTCCCTTTCAAACCTTACGGTCTATAGGGCAAGTGAAGTAGAGTTCGCGTGTTTCTGTGACCTCGGCATATGAAGAGATAGTGTGGTCAGCACTATGCCCACCACCTTTACTTCCCTAACGTGAGTTAGGTACCCATCAGAGTTGGGTGGACTCAGGGACGGTCTTATGACTTGAACCTGGATTCGAACTCGAGACTTACGGGTTAGCAGTACAGCTCTCTACCGATAGACCACTCCGTCCCCTTTATGTACCTTGACATTCTCGGAATCCTCTCCCTCCCCCCCCCCTTCCCCCCACACACTATCCCTCACTTGGTACAACAAAACAATCTACCTACTGCAAGGGTGTTATATACTTTTCCGATTATTAGTAGTTAATAATGTAATACATGAGAGTTAATAAAGAAGTTTTTGATGCCTCATTTTGAAAACTGGATTATTAAACAGTTTACAACCTGGTTAATTTGACTTTACAATTCATAAAAAACATAAAATACATTATTTTTTTAAAAATACAAGTAAATAAATCGTTATTGAATTTCATGCTTTAGATGAATTTTTTTCAATGTTGTAATTTCAAGTTAGTTGCTATGACTCGCACTATACATGCTTGAGAATACCATATACACCCAGCCCTTATAAAACATATTTGATCAGAGTTTCTTCCAGGCATCTCTTCGAAATGGAATTTATATAGAAAATATATACTTTAACCAGTGTCCGCCCCCGGAAAATGTATTCCGGTCCACCCCTTCTCCTCCGAAAATATCAAGTCTGGAAGAAACACTGTTTATGATTCACGTACATTACACACTAAATTACTCTAAAAGCTGTTAAAGTCACATCAACATGCAAATTTGAGAACGACATGTACAGGGATTAATGTATTTACACATCCACCAGCTTATTATAGTACACAAAAAACACACGTCAAATTACAAGCCACATTAACGACAACCAACGCCATCTTGTGTGACGTAAAAGCTGAACAACAAAGCGACAACTTCCGGTGTTTACTTTCGTTTTTGTTTTGAATATATTCTTTCATCGATTTACCGTGTAGACTCACCTGTCCGGGAGGAGGAGGGTGATGAACTGGTTCAAGGGGGCCATTTTTCTGCCATGGTCACCATCGGACAGACAAACACAGGGGCGACAACAACAATGACATTAATAAGGGGGATCATCATGTATGTAACACGCTTTAAACTGGGGAGGGGTATCCTTTCTTTCTTCCAGAATAGAGCAAATAATTTAATTCCAAATACAGTAACTTTTTATCTTATTCAAATTATTTACATGAATTTTTTTTACCGGTTTTGTAATTCCTCATTAAAAAATCAGGGGAATATGCATTTTAAATATTTTTCGAGGATTTCTTTAAAAAATTGTGCATAAATAATAAGATCCTTAAACTACTGTGAAAAAAAAAACATAACATGCATCAGTTGACCTTCCTTGGTAGCGTAAAACTTCAAAAATTCCGACAGGAAATGGAAAAGTTTTGAGTTGGGTGGGAGGGGGAATATAAGTTAAAATAGCTTGGAATTTTCCACACCTTTTATTTAGGTCAAAGGGTCGTGTCATGGGGATTGCTTCAGTAAACGGCTTGTTAATATTAAGAAAGAAACATGATATTATCATAATTGAAAGTGAACTTCATGATTAGTAAAAGTTGTCTTTAAAAAATTGTATATCACCCAGGTGAAATTAGGATTTAATAATATAGGTAGGTGTGACCCCTGTTGTTTGAAATAATTTACTATTTCAAAGGTTCAAACGTCGCTTCTATTAATGCTATATCACGTAGTGACTTTAAAGTATTATATACGCTCTTTCCATTGAAGACTGTGTTCTCGTTGGATACTTCTTTTTAAAATAAACAACTTCAGACAATAATATATCAGAATTTCTTTTTATTAATTCAGAGGCGTCGTGAGGCGGGGACGGGGGGTGCGGACCGCACCGGGTGACACCATTAAGGGGGGGGGGGGTGAAACCTTGGCGAAAAAAATGCAAAATATATAAAAGAGATAACATTTTGACAGTTTAATTAATGATTAATTAGAGTTAATCCACCTGTATTAAAAACTGGCAATATATAGAAATGTTTAATATTAACTGCGCACACGTTAAAATTATCACCGAGGGGGCAGTGGTGACACCAACAGCAAAATGTACAGAGGAAAAAAGATTTTTGTTGAATATTTCAAATACCAAGTATATATATATATATATATATATATATACATATATATATATATATACATATATATATATATATATATACATACATATATATATATATATATATATATATATATATATATATATATATATATATATATATATATATATATATATATATATACATTTTTTGGGGGTAAGGGCATGACACCATAAGGTGCCGCACAGTTTACACCCGACCTAGCAACGACGCTTAATTAATTAAGAAAAAAACTTTAAAATAATCATTATTTCCCATTTAAAGCGTGTTACATATATATATTACAAAGGTTTTATGGCATGCTTTATAAATAAAATAAAAAATTACGAGTAACCAAAATTGAAAGCTGGGGAGTTATATTTTTTTTTATAAATTGTGAATTTACTAAAATTACTTTCCATGAATTCAAAGTTATTTTTAGAAACACGGCATATTTTGTATCCTTAAAAAGACAATCCTTTAAAATTCTAGATATTTTTAATTAGATTTTTAAAAATCCATGTGAATGGGTTTTTAAGCTAAATCCTGAAAAGAAACTTTATAAAATTATAAAGGACTTTTCAAACGTTTGTATTGTGTTATCGTTCTTCAGCTTTCAATTTTGGGGAGGAAAATAAATGGAAAATATTTCCATCACCATAATTATTATCACAACATCAAAAGATATAAAGATAATTTTATTTAAAAACAACATAGACCCATGCTTTTTTCAATGCCAAATTAGGTAAAGAATTTAAGGAACCACAACTTTGAGAAGAAAAATAAACTTGTCAATGCTACACTTTCTACTCAGCTAGCTGTTGATTGCCCCTATTCCTAAAATGTATAGATACTAATCTATTCCACCTCCCCCCCCCCCCCCCCCACCAGAATCACCAATCTTAACAGACGCTCACTTAATTGCACATATAGTCAAATATAAGAGACATTTTTTATTGCAGTTTTTTTTCTTGGCCATTCCCAAATACCATTAAAATTATTTTATTTTTATTTTCGGAAATTGAAAACAAAATTCTCATGTTAAATTGTAGAATTAAATTGTAATCTATAATTATACATAATGTGTAGCTAGCTAAAATAGTTAAAACGCATACTTTAGAAACTAACTTTTAAAACTAGCATACGTTGTTGTAATTTATTATCAGGCAAAGCAACAAGAAGAAAATCCAGTTTAAAAAACAGAGGGGATTAAATAACCACGTGAACTAACCTAAAAAGGAACACGTTAACATCACAATGACGATAAAGCAACGTATTTATTTACACATACAACAACCACCATAAAACGGAAAAGGGGGGGGGGGGGGGGGGGGGGGGGGGGGGGGGGGGAAAAGCAAGACAAGGGAGCGAACTCTACATTTAAAAAAAGGGACATAACTCTACCTGTCTGGCCAAGGGACGTTTATGAACTGCTGCCACCATCTGTTG